TACAGCTCCCAAGTCACAGAACAAAATGACAGGGGCTGGCACTATGGCTTCCCAGGTTAACCCTCCATCTGTGAACCTGGCATAACACGTGGGCTCCATGCCCTTCCAGCTCCCTGCCTGTGGCCTGGGAAAGCAGTCGAGGATGGTGATAGGAACAGTCTGACTATAAGTACTCCACATTCACATTGCTCCAGCAAAATATGACCATAAATAAAAATGGAGCTTTGGGAAATATGGGTTGGAGTATTATTAATAATCTTAATTGTATCCTTAATATTGTTATAGTTTTATCAGAAATTGATGACCCAGAGATAGCTGCAATAATAGACCTCCTTTGCAAGTTATGCTGTGACTTAATAATGGATATAGTGAGTATGTTAGAGTCTTTTAACAAAGGTGACTCCATCTTCCTAAACTACTGGTGAAATGGGGCCTCCTCTCCTACCGCTCCTGTCAAGAGACTCCTAGGCGCACAAGCCCTCCCCTTATCACCTTTGTCAAGAAGCCACCATGTACATAAGCATGTCATGGTAAAAATGATAAAGAAGAAACAATTGTATACTAATGAATATGTATGTTTTGAGAATGAATATGCATGTTTGTTAGAATTGAGAGAAAGCAAGTGTTACTGATAGATAACATGTAATAACCAATCAAAACATTGTAAACAACCGCCTGCCTTGCCCCTGGATTTGTATATAAACCCATGCATTTGTCCCAGTTACTGAAGCCAACAGGCTCCCACTAGACTGGAGCCAAAGCCCCTGGACTTCCACTCGAACTTGCAGGCTCCCACGAGGCCGGAGCCAGAGAAGCCAGCAGGCTCCCACGAGACCGGAGCCAAGGTCTTGGGCTTCCACTCGAACTTGCAGGCTCCCACGAGGCCGGAGCCAAAGGCCCAGCAGACTTCCATGAGACTGAAGTCAAGAGGCACTCTCGGTGGCTTCCCCCATCCTGTTTGGTGTGTGCTTGCCTGAATAAATGCTTGAATGCTTGATTGCAAAGCATCCACTCTCGACTCTTGGCATTTGTTTGAGTGACCGGGCTCGGTGTTCGCGACAGATGGCCCAAAACCTTGGGACCCTGCACCCACATGGGAGACCCAGAAGAGACTCCTGGTTCCTGGCTTTGGATCAGTTCAGCTCTGGCCATTGTGGCCTCTTGGGGAGTGAACCAGTAGACAGAAGGGCTTTCTCTTCTCTGTTTTTCCTTCTCTCCATGAATCTGATCTGCCTTTCCAATAAAAATAAATAAATCTTTAAAAAAAAAAAGGCTGGTTGACAATGATGAGGGGGTGACACCTGATCTCCCAGACAGGCTGAGTTGAGAGCAGATGGCCTCGCAGATCAGGCATGAGGAATGAACCGGACACACAGGATGTGAGCTGAGTAACAGCTGGTGATGTTCAGAGGTGGGGAGAGCAGAGCTGGTGCTCAGGTGGTGGGTGATGATTCCAGGTGCATGAGCCGAAGGCTGGTGGAAGAGAGGGGCTGCCTCTGGATGAGGTGGAGCTAGGGTCTGTCATGAGTGATGGCTGAGGGTCTCCCACACAGGAGGTGATGATGGCTCATCATCTCGCAGATCTGAGAATCTTCCACAAACGTAAATATTCAGGAAACCAAGAAAACCAAACCATATATCCCTAACTAAACACACAGGATAGGGACCGCTGATCCCCCATGAGGGCCCTGGTGGGGGACGGACTCCCGTTACCCCAAGGTGTTTTCAGGGCCCTGTGAGAAGGCACAGCACACTCACTCCACCCCTGCTAGAAGGGAAACAGCCCCTGCAGACCTTGACCAGGCCCTCCCCTGGCTCCTCTCAGGCCTCCTGCCCAAGGCATTTAAGTTGCCTTAGATACGCTGTATCATCCTTAAACTGTTGAATCAGAAAGGCAGACACTCCCCACCTGCAGCTGAGAAAGGGGCCAGTGCAGGCATGGGTGTCCACAAAGGCTGCAGGAAGGCCTCAGGCCTCAGGCTCTGCGGCTCTGTGAGGCAGGGCTGTTAGAGGACACCCACACTCCACATCAGACAGGAAATACAAGTCCTAAGAAGAGCACACGGATGTCCCCAGGCCAATTCCTGTCAGGCTGCTCAGGCCAGACAGCCCAGGGCAAGATTGCATATCAGAACACCCTAGTCCCTGGACAAGCACTGCAGGCACAGTGCTTCAAACAAAGAAAAAGGGAAAAAAAAAAGTTAAGATGTCTTTTACATCCAAGTGTTAGAGAGAGATCTTTCATCATTGTCCACTCCCTAAATGTTTCCAAATGTCTGGGCCAGGCCCAGGAGCTCCATCCAGGTTGGCTGTCCCAGCAGGCTGCCACCTGGTGCCTCTCAAGTGAGCAAAGGCAGGTCTGGGGACACGACCCAGTATTTGGATGCGCAGTGTGGGGATAGAGCCTGCTCCTTGCCATCATCCAAAAAGCACTCTCATGGTCCTGACTGCAGTGAACATGGACCCACTGCTGCCTGGGATCCTTGGAGGATCCCCTCAGATGGCTGTCACCCAACTTCTCACAGCCCTCGGAGGATTATCACCCCACTTCTTCCTGCAGGTGCCCTTTGCTGGCAGCCCCGTGTGGCAGTCACAGTGAGCATGGGTGCCCGGGTGCAGCGGCCACGCCACACCGCAGTCTGGGTCTCCTGTGGCAGTCACAGTGAGCATCGGTGCCCGGGTGCAGCGGCCACGCCACACCGCAGTCTGGGTCTCCTGTGGCAGTCGCAGTGAGCATGGGTGCCTGGGTGCAGCGGCCACGCCCCACCGCAGTCTGGGTCTCCTGTGGCAGTCGCAGTGAGCATGGGTGCCCGGGTGCAGCGGCCACGCCACACCGCAGTCTGGGTCCCCTGGAACTTCTCAGGATTCTCAGCACTGCCGGCTGCCAAACTCAGAACTCAGAGCAGAGGGCGTTCCTGATCTCACACCGTTTAGGGTTCCGTTGGGCCGGCTCGCCCATGCTGTCACAGATCTGTGTGAGATCATTTCAGCCTTCTGCCTGTGGCACCGATATCCCGTTCAGGTGCCAGTTGGCATCCTGGTGACCCTGCTTCCCATCCAGCTGTGGCCTGGGAAAGCAGCGGAAGATGGCCCAAAGCCTTGGGACCCTGCACCCATGTGGGAGACCCGGAAGAGGCTGCTGGCTCCTGATCAGCTGAGCTCCAGTCATTGCAGCCACTTATGGAGTGAACCAGCAAATGGAAGATCTTTCAGTACACATACCTCTGATTTTTTAACTTTTTTTTTTTAATTGGAAAGGCAGATATACAGAGAGGAGGAGAGAAAAAGAGGAAGACCTTCCATCCAATGATTCACTCCCCAAGTGACCACAATGGCCGGTGCTGCGCCAATCTGGAGCCAGGAGCTTCCTCCAGGTCTCCCACGCAGGTGCAGGGTCCCAAGGCTTTGGGCTGTCCTCGACTGCTTTCCCAGGCCACAAGCAGGGAGCTGGATGGGAAGTGGAGCTGCTGGGATTAGAACCGGCGCCCATATGGGATCCCAGGGTGTTCAAGGTGAGGACTTTAGCCGCTAAGCCACCGCGCCAGGCCCTACCTCTGATTTTCAAGTTAAATAATGATTTTTTAAAAATCCACTGAACAAACTAGGCATGGAAGGAAAGGTTGAGTACCTGGCTGGCAGCTGCCTGAGGCTGGGGGGTAGAGTCATCACAGAACAGCTCACAGCCATTGCTGCTCCCAGGGCCGTCTGGCAAGGACAGGCATCTCCTTGGGGAAGGAGGAATGGCAGGGACCTCTGTCCATGGGGTTCCCACACACGTGTGCACACACATACACATGGAAACGCACTCAGGACTGGCAGCTAGCCTCAGCAGGGTGCACACTCAGTCTGAGCAGGGGCTCCCCTCCTGTGGCCCCCCGCAGAAGCAAGGGGAAGGCTCAGGGCCCGCCGGTGCAGGGCGGGGGCACCGGGGATCCCGTGGCAGTCAGGAGCTGCAGGCCGGGAGCCAGGGCGCCCACCTGGACTCACCCCTTGGCCTGTGCACTGAACAGGAGGGAGCAAGGGGCACCCACGCCTGACTGGGAGCCGGGAGCATTGTGGCCGTCCGGACTGACCCCTCGCCGCCGGCTGCTGGAGCCCAGCTGAGCCCCTCACAAGTCCTGTTGGGGCTCAGAGCCAGGCAGGCCCCCAGGGATCCACGTACAAGCTGAAGGCTGCGGGGCAATCCTTTCCCACCGGGACCCCAGGCAGGGCGGGCAGAAGGTGGGCCGCCCACGGAGCCACGGCGGGCAGGGCAGCCAGCCAGGGCGGCAGGGGCCGGGAGGAGTCCCCGCCGGGGCCCACGGCACCTGCACCTGCCGCGCCCGCCCGCGCCGCCCGCCCGCGCCGCGCCGGCAACCAGCAGACCAACGGCGCAGGCCCCGCCCGCGCGCGCCGCCGCGTGTCCCCGCGTGTCCCCGCCCGCTCGCTCGCTCGGTCGGCGCGGCTCGCAGGCGGCGACGGCGGCGGCGGCGGCGCGACGGCGGGCGGAGCGGCGGCCAAGCCGCCCAGGGCGCCGGGCTCGCGGCGGCGGAGCGCGCGGGAGCGCGGGGGCCGGGCGTCCATGGGCAGCGCGCCCGCGCCGGACCGGGGCCTCCCGCTCGGTAAGGCCGCGCGCGCTTCCGGCGGGGCGGGCGCGGCGGCGCGCGGGGGGGTGGGGCGGCTTTGTGTGCGAGTGCGCGTGCGCGCCGGCCGTGCGCGGCCGTGCGCAGGCGCCAGCCGCTGCGTGCCCCCGCGCGTGCGCGTCGGCGCGGCCCGCGCAGGTGACAAAGGGGCCCGCGGGCTTCGGGCGGCGCCGCGGCCCTCCCCGCCCCGCGCCCCGCCGCCCCCCGCGCCCTGCCGCGGCGCCCGGGGCTGTGGGCGACCCTGTGGCCGCGGCGCCCGGGGCCACGGCGCGCCTGGAGCGGCGGGCGGCGGGCGCCCGAGGGCCCGGAAGTGACGGGGCGGCCTGTGCCTGCGGGTGTGGGCCCTGGCGGCCCCGGGCGGGGTGGGGGTGTGGGGCCCGCGGTGCCCCGGGGAGGGAGCGGGTCCCGGCCGGCCGCCGGCCCGCTGCGATGCCCGAGGACAGAAGCGCCTCCGGGTGCGCTGGACAGCGGGAAGGTGAGCCGTGGACTGCCAGGCCCCTCTGGGAGGACTGGCCCCGGCCTGCCGCTGGTCTGTGCGTGCTATGCAGGGGCCTGGAGCCCCCGGCCTGGCTCTGCACTGGCCTGGTGCCCCCAGCTCGGAGTCCCTGACCTGGCTCTGCAGGGGCCTGGAGCCCCCGGCTTGGAGCCCCCGGCCTGGCTCTGCAGGGACCTGGAGCTGCTGGCCTGGCTCTACATGGGCCTGGAGCCCCCAGCCTGGTTGTGCAGGGACCCTGAGTTCTCTGAACTGGCTGTGCAGGGGCACGGGGAGCCCTCGGCCTGGCTGTTCAGGGGCCTGGCCTGGCCCCCCGCAGCTCCCAGGTCCACTGACAGGCTGGCTTGTCTTCCTGTGTCACTGTGGGTCCAAGGCTGGGGGAGGGGCGTGTACTTGGGCTGTGTCTGGTGGCCTGTCCTGCCCTGGCTGTCTTCTCCTGGGGGGGCCTTGTGCCCTGGCAGTTCCAGGCTCCTGGGAGACACCCTGCTTGGGTGTGCCCCACAGGGAGGGGGAGACGTGGCTGCAGGCACCAGGCTCTGGCTACATGGAGCTGGGCAGCTACCACCATGTGGACCCCCGTAGCGAGGGGTCTGGTGTTGCTTGTTGGGACTACTGAGACCCCTGCAATAGCAGGCTCCAGGTTGAGAGCCGTCAGGTGTGGGGAGATCTGCTGGCCCTACGCCTTCTTGCTCTGTAGCCTGAAGCTCCGAGTAGCCGCGCAAACCAGGGCAGCCCTAGGCCTGGGGCTGCCAGGCAGGGCTGTATGTCACCTGCCAAGGAGCCAGCACCCATGGGTGCCACAGCAGGACCCAGGCCATGGGACTCCGGAGGCTGCTGTGCAGTCCAAGGGAGGCCAGGGTTTCTGCAGCACTGGATGCCTCAACTGTGGCCAAGAGGTCTTTGGCTCCTGATGGGTCGGGCAGCAGCTACCTGCCTCTGGGCAGAAGGTGACCCTGTGGGGAGCGGCAGCCTAGGGTCTTGGAAGTCTGGGCAAGTGGGATGCCCCCGCCCTGCCCCCTGGGGCAGGAACGGACTCAGGCCAGGATGACACCCCCAGGCTCCCACATATCAGGTGTGTGGACAGTGGCTGAAGAGGGCTTGGGTGCAGGCATGTGGCTCCGCGCTCAGCTCAGCAGGTGTCACTCATGGCAGGGGACGAGTCATGCTCCCCAGAGTGACATGGAATGAGTGGGACAGACAGGCTGAGCTGACTCTGAAGTTGTGGGTCTGTAGGCTCTCCTGTGCCAGCCAGGTCCCTGGCCCAGGATGGGTGCTACCGCTTGGCTGTGTGGCTCAGCCCTGGGGAGCTGCCTCAGGTAGAGTGAGGTGGCATTCCAGGGTCCAGCACTGGTAGAGGTGGGGCTGATGCTTGGCTCCCCCATTCTCCTGATGTCCTCTCTGCTGCCCAGGCCAGCACCCCACACCATCTGCTTATTCCCAAAGGCTTCTGTTCTTTACGTGAAAGGCAGAGGGACAGGAAATCTTTCATCTACTGGGTTACTCCCCATGTGGTTGCAGTGGGCAGGGCTGGGCCAGGCTGCAGCTAGGAACTCCACTGGTGCTCCCTGGAGCCTGGGGACCCCTGAGCCTGCCACACACCTCAGTGGTGGTGTAATGTGTCTCTTGTGTTTGGTTTTTAGCGAGACTTTGAGCCCTACGCAGGCCTCTGGGTGCTTGAGCCGAAAGTGGGCACTCTGGTTGGAGACGGTCAACAGGTGCCATGCGGCTGCACAGTGGGACGCAGCCCTGCCTCGGGCACCTGAAGACAGAACTCTGAGCAGGTGACTTCATGGTGGAGAAGACCCCGCCCACGTTGAGGGATGGCAGGTGGGTCAGCCGGGACAGACGCAGGCAGGTGCATAGGGAGCCGGGATTGTGGCTTTACGTTCCCAGGCACTGAGTGTCATGTCATGTCAACATCCCAGGTTAGGGGTCACTGCTACCCTGGCACCAGACCCTGAAGCAGCTGCGAAGGGGCCAGTGGGGGTGGGGGCCCTGTCTGTAGCATGCCCAGTGGTGCGGCTGGGCCCCTGGCTGGCCAGAAGACGTGGGTTCAGGCAGGTACTTGGGTTGGCAACTCCCACACCCTCCCTACGGGGCTGACTGCTCAGATACTATTCTATGGGGAGCAGTCCCCCAGCACCCTTCTGTCCTCCGTCCCTGAGTGCCAGGCCTGCAGCATGGGGCTGAGTTCGGGTCCCCAGCTGGCCCTGTGGCCCTTGGGGCTGGTAGGATCCTGCGGGCGGCAGAGCAGTAGCACCACACCTGGCCCTCAGGTGTGTAGCATGTCCCAGCCTGGCTCCACGTTTGTGTCAGGGCAGGTGTCCAGCTGCAGCCCCAGGTACAGCCAGGGCTTCATCAGCTGCCAAGGGTCCCTGTGGCTGCATCGTGCCAAGCAGCCTTGCACCTGTGGCCTAGGAAGGCAGCCATTATGGGGCCTCTGCCCTGTCCAGCTGCTGGTGCTCACCCTGCACACAGCTCCACCCATTTTTCCAGGCCATATGGGATAGACAATGTCCTGGCCAGCTTGGCCCTGCCCTGGCCTGCTGTCTGCAGTGAGCCTGGCTGAAGCCTGCTCCACCCTGGTATGCACTGTGCTTCAACGTCCACACATGGGAGGGCTCAGGGAGAAGCACGTGGGGTACGCAGCTGAAGTCAGCCTGGGAGAGGCCTGCTGTCCACGGGGCCTCTCCTTAGTGGGGGACAGGGCAGTGGGAAGGGCCTACCATTCACAGGGCCTCTCCCAGCCAAGGGACGGGGACGTGGGTGAGGGTCTGTCATCCATGGGGTTTCTCCCAGCCGGGGGACAGGGGCATGGGGGCCTATCCTGCAAGGGGCCTCTCCCAGCCAGGGTCTCAGGGCCCTAGGCCCAAGGCCACTTGGCTGCCAACAACATACAGTGAGTACCTGTTCTCTTCTTGCTTCTTGTGACCAACTCTTGGGGAAGACTGGATGTGACCGAGCGCTTGTGGGATTGTGTGGTGGCCAGCCTGGCGCAGGCCCTAAGCGCTGTGCTCCTGTTGTACAGGCGTCCGACCTCCGATCATGAATGGGCCCATGCACCCCCGGCCCCTGGTGGCCCTGCTCGACGGCCGCGACTGCACTGTGGAGATGCCCATCCTGAAGGACGTGGCCACCGTGGCCTTCTGTGATGCACAGTCCACGCAGGAGATCCACGAGAAGGTACCTTCACTGTGCAGAGGGTCTGCCTGGCATTAAGGGGAGCCCCACTGTGCGGCATAGAGACCTGGGTCTACCCAACTAGATGCTGTGGTGGGAGGGCTGTCTCATGTGCGTGTGACATGTGTACACATGGGCCCACACCTCAGCTATGCAGCCTGCTCCCTCCTTCCCTTGGGATCAGGGCCATTTCCTAGCCAGACCTGACCTCCCTGTCCACACTAGGTCCACAGCTCCATAGGAAGCCCCAAGTGCCCTGTTGTCCCAGTGGCCACTGCTGGGCACTTAGACCCTTGGGCTACAAAGCAGGAGAACGGGGGGAGGGGCTGGGGAGAGGCCAGGCTGCCCAGTGGACCCTCCTTGTTCACATGCTGTACTGCATATCCAGCTACCTGTGCCCATGTGTCTTAGTCTGACCCCTACTGGGTGCCACCATGGGAGGTGCTGGGTGCCAAGTCCCAGGCACCACTGTTGACTGCGTGGTTCCTTGTGCTTGTCAGCGGAGGATGCTCTGGCCATCTGGGATGCCTGACCCATCACCACACACTGACCCTGTCATCCACGTATGCTGTCATGGCCACGCCGCAGGGCAGTGTGCTGCATGTGCCTGGGCTGTGGTTGTTGGGGAGGTAGGAGGGTTCTCTGAGGGACTCTTGGGTTCTTGATCACGTCTGTCCCAGGGCTCTGCAGTAGAGAGACCCTCCCGTGGAGTCTGACCTAGGTGCTGCCATGATGCCCCTCCCTGCACAGGTGCTGAACAAGGCTTTGGGCGCCCTCATGTCCCACGTGGTCCCACACTGACAGCCCCCCCACAGGTGCTGAACGAGGCCGTGGGTGCCCTCATGTCCCACACTGACACCCCCAACAGGTGCTGAACGAGGCTGTGGGCGCCCTCATGTCCCACACTGACACCCCCCCAACAGGTGCTGAACGAGGCCGTGGGCGCCCTCATGTCCCACACTGACACCCCCAACAGGTGCTGAACGAGGCCGTGGGCGCCCTCATGTCTCATGTGGTCACACTGACACCCCCCCCACAGGTGCTGAACGAGGCCGTGGGTGCCCTCATGTCCCACACTGACACCCCCCCCACAGGTGCTGAACGAGGCTTTGGGCGCCCTCATGTCCCACACTGACACCCCCCCCACAGGTGCTGAACGAGGCCGTGGGTGCCCTCATGTCCCACACTGACACCCCCCCCACAGGTGCTGAACGAGGCTTTGGGCGCCCTCATGTCCCACACTGACACCCCCCCCACAGGTGCTGAACGAGGCCGTGGGCGCCCTCATGTCTCATGTGGTCACACTGACACCCCCCACAGGTGCTGAACGAGGCCGTGGGTGCCCTCATGTACCACACGATCACACTGACTCGTGAGGACCTGGAGAAGTTCAAGGCCCTGCGCATCATTGTGCGCATCGGCAGTGGCTTTGACAACATTGACATCAAGTCAGCCGGAGACCTGGGTAGGCCTCTCCTCCCACCCCCTCCTGCCCCCGGATGGGACCACCCCAGAACCCTACCCCCCGGAGGAGCATGTCTGTACCACGTGTATTCTTCTCCTCTCACCGCCCCAGCAGCTTTAGCTTGTTGCTCACAAGCCACCACTCTCCTGGTGCCAGGCCAGGCAGTGGTGACCCCTATAGCCCCGTGTCTCCACAGGCATCGCCGTCTGCAATGTGCCCGCGGCGTCTGTGGAGGAGACCGCAGACTCAACCATGTGCCACATCCTGAACCTGTACCGCCGGACCACCTGGCTGCACCAGGCACTGCGTGAGGGCACACGTGTGCAGAGCGTGGAGCAGATCCGCGAGGTGGCCTCTGGGGCTGCCCGGATTCGTGGGGAGACCCTGGGCATCATCGGACTAGGTGCGTGTCAGCCAGTGCTTGGGAGAGGATGGAGGGTGACAGCTAACATCATATCACATCATGGAGTGTCACATGCAAGTGTCAGCAGCCATCCTGTGGCTGTGGCAGAGGTGACATGGACATATACTCCGCACATGGGTGTCCCACACCCGTTACCTGCAAAGATGTCACATGGGTGATACAACATGGGTACAAACACCAACCAGCCCCGTGTCTTCTCCTGTGGGGCACGGTGAATGCCATCTTGGCAGGTGATGGCCATCTGCCCGTCCCCTCCTCCCTCTGTGCCTGGGCCTCAGTGTGGCCAGGTGAGTAGAACCACACAAGGGACCTGGAGACCTGGGCTGCCACCTGAGCCTGGCTGCATTTCCCGAGGCTGCTGTTGCCACCATGGCACCACCATGGCACCAGCAAGGCCACAGTTGCCTGTGGCGTTTATGGATGCCCTGCCTAATCAGGGTCCAGGTGGAGTCGTGGGCACCCACAGGTGGCAGACGGGTAGGGGCTGCGCTGTGGAGGCACCTGTCAATGGCCCTCAGGGTCAGTGGACTCCTGGCCATGCTCCTGGAGTCTGCTTGTTACCCTTCCTGCAGGCTCTGGCTTGAGCCCCACACCATCTGTCGGTATGCTCCTCTGGGCCAACTGTGGGTCCTGTATGGCCAGGGCAGTGCTCTGGGCGCTAGGGGCAGTGTTGACCCTCCAGGGAAGCCGTGCCCCCATCCCTGACCCAAGCCCCAAACCCATGCCACTTGCTGCAGTGCCCATTCCCCACTCCTGGGGGATTTATTTCACTTGTTGGAGTAACAAAGGAACCTAATAGATCTGCTTTGCCTCCCGGGTAGCTGCACCTGCAATGGGGTTGTTCGTCACTGCTGCCCTGGCTCCCAAGGGGTTGAGTGGTGACCCCCACTGCACCCCTGTCTCTCCACTGCCAGCACCCCCAGCCATCAGCCCCTTCCTGTGGAGCCCAACTCATCCATGTCACCCCATCTTCTCTGGGGGTGTTTGAGCTGAGCCTGCATTTTGGGGGCTCCAGGACCCCATGTCCAGTTGTAGGCCTCTCAGTTCACGGGTTCCCAGCACGCTGCCCACTCCTTGCCCTCCCCCGGCCCCTTCAGACCCTATGTCAGCAGCCTGCAAGCCCACAGCTACCCTGGAAAGCCTGTCTCTGCCTTTCTGCTCCCTGTCTTGTTGCTGCTTGGGGCCCCAGAAGGTTCTGTGTGTGTTCTGCAACCTCCACTCATGCTGCTCGCCTTGCTGCTCCTTGTCCTTGTCTGCCGTCTGTTCCTGTGGCCTGGGACGCTTGAGTCGTGACCTTTCTCTCCTCATCCTCCTGACTCTTGTTGGAGGAATCTGCAGCGTCCTGGCTGGCTGCTGGGTCAGGCGGCTGGGAGCCAGGCCCTGGGCTCTGCCTAGTGGCCTCATCTGCTGCTCGGGGCTGTACTGGGCCCAGGCTCCTGAGGCTGCGCCTGTGTCGGTAGCGGGCGGTAGACACCCAGGACCCTCCATCTTCCCTGACCACACCGTGCTGCCCCAGGTGGCCCGGCCAGGTGGGTGGCGGATGGGTCTCTGGCTGAGGGTGAAGCTCAAGGAGTCCTCACTGGTGGCAGTTGGAGCTTAGGCCCAAACACTGGGTAGACCCAGGAGGTGCTGAAGCAAGGCCAAGGGGGTACATCTGACCAGGCCTTTCACGGGGCTTATGGGCAAACGTCTCATGGGTATCTGAACCCAAGGGTCACGTGGTCTTGGGGACTCTGGTGCATGTTCACACAGTGGCCGTGTGATTAGTCTCACGTGGTGTCTCGGTCCGTAGGCCGTGTGGGGCAGGCGGTTGCGCTGCGGGCGAAGGCGTTTGGCTTCAACGTGCTCTTCTATGACCCATACCTGCCCGACGGTGTGGAGCGGGCACTGGGGCTGCAGCGCGTGAACACCCTACAGGACCTGCTGTTCCATAGTGACTGTGTGACGCTGCACTGTGGCCTCAACGAGCACAACCACCACCTCATCAACGACTTTACCGTGAAGCAGGTGCACTGGGGACATTGGGCATGTGTGCAGTGGGACTGTGGGGCACGTGTGTGCTGGGGATGTTAGGCATGTGTGTGATGGGGCTGTGGGGCATGTGTGTGTTGGGGACATGGGACACTGTATGTGCTGTGGACATGGGTCAAATGTACTTTGGGGACGTGGGGCATGCGTGCGCTGGGGCTGTGGAGCACATATACCTGGGATGTGGAGCATGTGTGTACTGGGGACATGGGACATGTTTATGTTGAGGACATGGGACACATGTGTGCTGGGGCTATGGGGTGTGTATGTGATGGGGCTGTTGGTCATGTGTGCGCTAAAGACGTGTGGCAGGTGTGTACTGGGACTTAGGGCACGCGTGCACTGGGGACATGGGGCATGTGTGTGCTGGGCCTGTGGGGCACGTGTGTACTACGGACGTGGGTCATGTGTGCACTGGGGCTGTGGGACACACGTGCTAGAGACATGGGGCATGCGTGCACTGGGGCTGTGGGCCATGTGTATGTTGAGGACATGGGTCACGTGTGTGCTGGAGATGTGGGGCATGTATGCGATGGGGGCTGTGGTCACATGTACTGGGAACATGGGGCACGTGCGCTGGGATGTGGCACATGCTTACGCTGGGACTATGGGGCGTGTGCACTAGGGACGTGGGGCACACATGTGCTGGGGGCGTGGAGCATGTATGCAGTGGGGCTGTGGGGCGTATGTGTGCTGGGGATGTGGGACCATGTGTGCATGTGTGTGCTGAGGCGGCTGCTCTTCCACCAGGTGGGTTCAGGGCCCCCAGCTGATGGTGTGTAGGCATCCCCATTGCACATGTGACAGGTGTACACACATGTCCCCACAGCAGACAGCTAGGGCTCTGACTACCGTCAGGTTTTGGGGTGCTCTGCCAAGGTGAAGCCCTGCAACTGGGAGCCCTGTACCCTGCCCCAGCCACACAGGTGTCTCCGCAACTGTGACCCCTGAGGGACCAGGAGCCAGGCCTCTTTTCCTCAGCTGGTATCCATTGGTGCCCATCGCTGCCCATAGTGCTCAGTGCACCTGGCAGCAGAGGCAGGGTTCATAGGTGCAGTGCTGGTTTGCAGGACCAAACATGTCCGTACCTCCACGTGCCGTGTCTTCCAGATGAGACAAGGCGCCTTCCTGGTGAACACGGCCCGGGGTGGGCTGGTGGATGAGAAGGCCCTGGCGCAGGCGCTGAAGGAGGGACGGATCCGCGGCGCGGCGCTGGACGTGCATGAATCGGAGCCCTTCAGGTGCCTCCCATGCTCCCCCAGCCTCTGGCACCATCGTCCAGGGCGCCCTGGACACGGCCCATGCCCAGCGTGGGCCTTGCATGGGGTATTGGGGTTGCCAGGGCTGCTGACGGAGCTACGGTACAGGCTGGGCCACAGTGATGAGGGGCATGCAAGGGTCCTCGTTAGGAGGGGCTGTGGGGCAGCTCTGACGTGCTGGCTGTGCCATGCTGGCTGTAGCTCCGCCTCATCTTCTCTGGGCCATGCTGGTCTTACTGAGCTGAATGACAGTGGGCAGGAGTCCAAGTGTCCAGCATGCCTTGGGCCCCAGGCACCTCCATGCTTCTCTGTTCTGCAACACCAGTGGAGGCCCCTTCCCCACTGTAGGCAGGCCCCAGGCTGGGGTGGCGTCCCTGGGTCTGGGCACCTAGGTCTGTGGATGGGACTGTCGTGACCACGCCCTGTGCTCCCTAGCTTTAGCCAGGGTCCACTGAAGGATGCGCCCAACCTCATCTGCACTCCCCACGCTGCGTGGTACAGTGAGCAGGCCTCCATTGAGATGCGCGAGGAGGCAGCCCGCGAGATCCGCCGGGCCATCACAGGTGGGGCCGTCGGGGGGCATCTGGGGGCTGGGTGACGCTGTGCTGTGAGACCCTGGGTGGGACCCACCAGGGCTGAGGGAGGAGGGTGGCCATGGGTCTGAGCTGGCACCCTGGGCCCAGGCCGCATCCCGGACAGCCTGAAGAACTGTGTCAACAAGGACCACCTGACAGCGGCCACCCACTGGGCCAGCATGGACCCTGCCGTGGTGCACCCCGAGCTCAATGGGGCTGCCTATAGGTGAGTGGGGGATGGGGAGCAAGGCCCCAGCAGGTTCTGTGGGTGGGACAACCTGGGGAGTAGATGCTGAGCAGAACTCCCTGCCCTGCTTTGAGTAACCCTTGGCAGGAGCAGTCTCATCCCCCTGAACCCCCTCTGCTGTAGCCTGGGTCAGGGCATGAGGAGCAGGTAGGCCAGGAGGGGTGAGGCCAAGGGGAGGAGAGTGGATGTGACAGGGCTCTGCTGGCTGTGGCTGCCAGGAGCCTGTGGGAGTTGGGTCTGGAGGGTGTGGCTGAGGAGTGGGTATGGCATGGCTCCTGGGTGTCTGTGGCTGAGGTGTGGCCCAGCTGGCACCACTGACTGCTGGACCTCCTCTCCCAGCAGGTACCCTCCAGGTGTGGTGGGTGTGGCCCCCACGGGCATCCCAGCTGCAGTGGAAGGCATTGTCCCCAGCGCCATGTCCCTGTCCCATGGCCTGCCCCCCGTGGCCCACCCACCCCACGCCCCTTCTCCTGGCCAAACTGTCAAGCCCGAGGCGGACAGAGACCACGCGAGCGAGCAGTTGTAGCCGGGGAGCTGTGAGGCCCCAGGCTGGCGCCTGCAGGGACGGTTCCCTGGTAGTGATCGCGGTTTGGACCTGCTGGACAGCCTGGCTCCCTGTGCCCACCCGCTGCCTGCCCAGGCTGGCCACTGCCCCGTGTCCGCCGCGTTCCCTTTTAAACAGCAGAAATTAGTAGTTGGCTCCCATGGATGTTCCTGTCTGTGCACAGTTGTTAGAACATTTCAGAAGATGTGTTTGCCCCGCCCGGCCTGGCCTGGCACGCCCGGCGGGCAGCTGGCAGACTTCTCAGGACAATGGACCCTCCCCGTCTTTCTGTTGATGCCACACAGTGCATTGTTTTTCTACCTGCTTGTCTTATTTTTAGAGTAATGTAGAGAGACAACTGAGGCTGTTCCTCCCCATTTTGGCATGACCCCCCCGTCCCAGATGAAGGTGGCCCGCAGAGTGGTTCGGACCAGTGGCCACGAGTGCCGAGCCGGGCGGTGCCGTCCTGCTGATGTGGTAGCCTAGCAACGTTTGGGTTTAAATCATGTTTGTGACTGTAAGCATTTGTATGAATTATTTTAAAGAAATAAAAACCCCAGAAAGAGCCGTAATGCCTGACACCTGTTTTGTGGTATTCTGATGGATTGATCAAAAGGCGGAGTTACAAAGACACCCAAAAAGGGTGTGTCCACTGCCCTTTCCTCAAATGCCACAGACAGCCACGGCTGGGCCAGGGCAAAACCGGCTCTCATGGGGTGGCTGGGACCCACCTCAGGCCCTCACTTGCTGCCTCCCAGGGGCTCTGAGCCCCCACCCGTCTTGATGTCTGTCCTGACAGTGTCACCCCAGGGAGGTGGCTGGGGGCCCCGACCTTAGGGGGAGCAACTACAGACGGCTGGTGAGTGTTGGGCCCACCCTTTGCCCACAGTGTTTCAGATGGGGGCCTGGCTAGGGCAGATTGCCAGGGCAAGAGCAGTGGTGGCTGAGCCAGAACACCAAGGACTACCAGAACACCCAGCTCCAAGCACTGCCCAGCTGTCTGCACAGTCACTCAGGAGGGCCTGGGCAGCAGACCCAGGCAGGGACCAGAGGGGCAGCGGAGGCCACTGGCATGACTTGTAATCAACATGCAAAGGGCAGGCTAAGCTGGTCTCCATGGCCACCTGTGTCTGTCCACAGCCTCCCTGGGGTCCCCAGTCTGGGTGGCCACCTTCTGGCCAGGCCAGGGGGCAGGAGCAGAGTGGCCTGTCCACAGGGCCATTTTAGTCCCAGGGGCTGCTGCTCCACCCCTGCTGGCAGCTCCAGCTGACCACACTGCTGGACCCCGCCTCTAAGCCTGCGACCCTCAGAGGTCACTTGCTTATCAATATCTTGACCCCTCAGGGCAGGATGGGCGGAAATCCTGGCAGGGGGGTGCCCAGCTCTGGGCAGAGGGGTGGTGGCAGGCAGACCAGTGACTTCTGCCTTCCCCACTGTGCTGCAGGAGGTGGCTCGGAGCAGCTGGCCCAGGCTCTGAGAGTGGCCAGTGCTGATTGACAGACGGGGTGGTACGCCTGCGCTGGGCTGGGAAGGGGTATTGGGGGGTTATAGGTCCCTGTGTGGAGGGGCCAGCTCTGGGCCTCCTGGCTGGGGTCTGGAGCCAGCTTTCCAATCAGTGCTGAGCGTTTCAGCAAACGCAGACCCTGGCCGTGGCTTAGGAAAAAGCCGCCTGGGCCCTGCCGGGGGGTGGAGGCACTTGCTGGCCTAGACTCCAAGAGTGACCGTGGCCATGGCCAGGGTGGGATATGGGGTGGGGGAACATCATGTCGGGGATCCTGCCATCCCCTCCTGCTACCCTGCCTTTGGCCTTCCTGAGGGGGCTCTCAGTACTGACCTTGAGCCCTTAGCCCACACCAGGGTCCAGCCAGCTCCTTGACCCTGGTCAGGGCTCAAACTGCAGCCCCTTGGAGGCACTGAGGCCCCCGTGCGGGGTCGCCCCTTGCCCCACATTCCACCCACCCCAGCACCTCTGCCATCCCTGTGTGGGACCTGCCCAGGCAGTGACCTGGACGGCTACCCAGGTGCCTCAGCCCAGCTATGCCATCCCCATCGCCAGGACCCGGCCTCCTTCCAACTGCCCTAGTTACTGCCTTGCCCAGGAGTGACCCACAGGACCCAGGTCATTTCACATTACCAGGTCACCTCACACAGCACTGGGTCACCTCACAGTACTGGGTCACCTCACACAGCACCGGGTCACCTCACACACAGGACCCAGGTCACCTCACACAGCACTGGGTCACCTCACACAGCACTGGGTCACCTCACACACAGGACCCAGGTCACCTCACACACAGGACCCAGGTCACCTCACACAGCACCAGGTCACCTCACACACAGGACCCAGGTCACCTCACAGTTACCAGGTCACCTCACAGCACCAGGTCACCTCACACAGCACCGGGTCACCTCACAGTACTGGGTCACCTCATACAGCACTGGGTCACCTCACACAGCACTGGGTCACCTCACACACAGGACCCAGGTCACCTCACACAGCACTGGGTCACCTCACACAGCACTGGGTCACCTCACACAGCACTGGGTCACCTCACACACAGGACCCAGGTCACCTCATAGCACCAGGTCACCTCACACACAGGACCCAAGTCACCTCACACACAGGACCCAGGTCACCTCACACACAGGACCCAAGTCACCTCACACAGCACTGGGTCACCTCACACACAGGACCCAGGTCACCTCACACAGCACTGGGTCACCTCACACACAGGACCCAAGTCACCTCACAGTACTGGGTCACCTCACACACAGGACCCAAGTCACCTCACACACAGGACCCAGGTCACCTCACACAGCACTGGGTCACCTCACACACAGGACCCAAGTCACCTCACACACAGGACCCAGGTCACCTCACACAGCACTGGGTCACCTCATACACAGGACCCAAGTCACCTCACACACAGGACCCAGGTCACCTCACACACAGGACCCAGGTCACCTCATACAGCACTGGGTCACCTCACACACAGGACCCAGGTCACCTCACAGCACCAGGTCACCTCACAGCACCAGGTCACCTCACAGCACCAGGTCACCTCACACAGCACCAGGTCACCTCACACAGCACTGGGTCACCTCACACACAGGACCCAGGTCACCTCACACAGCACTGGGTCACCTCACACACAGGACCCAGGTCACCTCACAGCACCAGGTCACCTCACAACTCAGCACTGGGTCACTTCACATGCTGTTCCCTAAGACTGGTTCACATATCTCCTAGGTGACCCTGACATGGGCTTAACCTCAAGTATGGTGAGGGTGCTCCTCACGTGCCCTGTGCTCTGTGACCTACAGACAGTCCTGCTCAGGGCATGGCTGGTGGGGCCGCCTCTCCTTGGGGTTAGTGGTACTGTGCTGCCCCCAGGAGGCAGAACCATGACTGCACATGGGGTGGAGGCCGGGCCTGGCTGTGGCCCCTGGGGTCCTCAGGGCCTGGGACCTGAGACTCGGGAAGTAAGGGGCTTGGTGCCAGCCCTGGGCGGGGCAGGGTTGCCCGGGTGGCGCCCAGCCAGTGTGGGGAAGACTCCAGGAGGGAGCGCGTCACTGAAATGAGAACCACATGCGGGCTTGGCCAGTGCCCAGGCCTGCGGGGACGCTCCCCTCTCCTGTCCCTGCCTTCCAGCGTGGGTGAGGGTGGGGGGACAAGCCTTTGGGAATTTCCAGTAGGGCTCGGGGTGGGGCAGTCTGGAATAGATGTGGGGTCCCAGGCCTGGGACTAAGGCCCGAGGGTCCTGGCTGAGGGCCCCTCTGTTTTTCCAGGAGTGGTATCTGGGTTAGCACAGGCAGACTGGGCCTGGTGCCAACTAGCCTGGCCCTGTGGGAGCCATGGGCAGAGAAGGTGGGCAGATGGGTAGCTTTTAACCTCTGAGGAAAGTGGGCCCCAGCAAGGCACAGGCAGAGCAGGGGGAGCGGGCCCAGCGTGGGAGCTGCTGTGTCTGTGGCCTTGACCAGTGCCAAACCTCACATGGTCACGTGATCCAGCACACACCTGCTGCGCACGCCCGTAAGATCTATCAGCAAATGACAGTAGGAGGCGCCGTGCACACAGGGCACAAAGCAGCATCTCCCACAGAGCAAGGCTAACACCAAGGGCCTGACACAGCAGCCTAGTGCCTAAAGTCTTCGCCTTACATCCACCGGAATCCCATATGGGTGCCAGCTTGTGTCCCGGATGCTCCATTTCCCTTCTAGCTCCCTCCTTGTGGCCTGGGTAAGCAATCAAGGACAGCCCAAAGTCTTGGGACCCTGCACCCACGTGGGAAACCCTGAGGAAGCTCTTGGCTCCTAGCTTCAAATCAGCTCAGTTTCAGCCATTGCAGCTATCTGGGGAGTGAACCAGTGGACAGAAGATCTTTGTCTCTGCCTCTTTTCTCTGTAAATCTGCCTTCGAATAAAAATAAATAGATCTTTAAAAACACACAGGAATTGTTGAAGTGGAAAACATTCAACAGGAGGAAGATTCTTTTTTTTTTTTTGTTTAATGTGTGAGACAAAAACCAAATGAGTGCTTCATCCCTGGCCACAGGCTCAGCGGGACCTGGAGCGATGGGGCCTGGAGCTCGCCCAGTGGGAGTCAGGCCGTGTATGGAAGCCATCATGGAAACCCCTGCTTGGGGGAAAACATGAGAGCAGGAGCTGGAAAGAATCAGCGTGAGCAGGGGAGGAGGCCAGAGCTGATGCTGGGCCAGCTTGGCCAGCCCTGGGCGGGAGGGGCTGACCTTCCCCAGCCCCGAGGAGGACGGAAAATCTGGAACTGATTTCCCACCCGAGCCCAGCGTGGGACCTGCTGGGGAGACAGCGACGGGAATCGCCGTGAGTGAAGAAGCAGGCAAGGAGTTCAGAGGAGCCTGTCAGATTCCTGTTGAATTACGTCCTGGGCTGGGCCAGCCGCAGCCACCACCGGTGACCGGCCTGATGACTCCAGTGACGCTCCTCAATGCCAGCGGGCCTCACAGCAGCAGTAACTGAAGCAGCAGGGCCGCGACACTGTGACTCAGTGGGTTGTCTCTGCCTACGGCGCCAGCATCCCATAGCTGCTGGTTCGAGTCCTGGCTGTCCCGCTCCCTGCCTGTGGCCTGGGAAAGCAGTGGAGGACAGCTCAAAGCCTTGGGACCCTGCACCCACGTGAGAGACCCAGAAGAACCTCCTGGCGTCAGATGGGCTCACCTCGGTCATTATAGCCTTTTGGGGAGTGAACCAGCAGATGGAAGATCTCTCTGTAAATCTGATGTTTGAATAAATAAAATAAAATTTAAAAAACTAAAGCAGGAAACCCAAACAAGGACTCCCGATGGTGGTGGTAGAGTCTTCATGCGGAATGTGTGTGGGGACTGCAGGTGATCCAAGGTTGCACAGGGACATGTGGGAACTGCATGAGAAGTCGGGGCACATGGGGAACACGTGTGGGAACGGAATGTGATCCGAGGGCACATGGGGAACACGTGTGGGAACGGAATGTGATCCGAGGGCACATGGGGGACATGCATTAGTACTGCATGAGAAGCAAGGTCACAGAGAACATGGCTCTCAGGCATCAATGCCT